AATCGCCGTCAGATACCTGATGACGTGATCTGTGCTACCATGGATGCACTCTGTCCTTTAAAGGACTCCAACATGACGAAACATGGGAGACACCGAGACAAAGAAAACTTTTGAATCTACAAAATCAACAGAGAGCTCATATTCAAAATATATCAAGAATTAATTGGAGGGAAAAGACTGATAATGCCAGAGGCAAATATGCAAGACCCGTGGACAGGCACTTTGTAAACCCGGATACTGTATCAGTTAATGGCATTTAGCTAGGTATTATACATTTTCTTTATTGTTATTATTAAACACATATTGAATGCATCTAAAGTTTTCAGTCTAATATTAGTAAGGGAAATGGACAATTATATGGATGGATCCTGAAAACACTGTGTCAATTGAGGTGAGTGAGACACTAAGTAGTTCACAGGATAGAAGTCCATTTATGTATGTTTGCGAAGTAGGCAAATCTCTTCTTTGACATGCACAGGAAACATAGCATGTCAGTAATATTATAGCATGTCAGTAACAGGATAAACATATGTTGTATATTTAAATATATTTTATATGCATTTGTTTTTGCATGTTCTATCTTTTAGTAAAAGTATTAAAATCTTTGAAATCTTACCATTTCTTCATCATTTTCTATAATAAGTAGACTAGATTTATTAGAAGCACAGGCCATCTTGCTCTCGGTCCAGTTTTTCTTTTCAGTACTAATGTAATAGCAATGGTTGGAATAGGAAAACCAATCCTCCATGTAACCATCACAATGATTTTCTGAAAAAGATGATGAATTTATATCATGAAACAATCTACATTAAAAGATCAATCAAGATGGTTGCATATGCCTATGAATACATAGCCTAGATATGTAATCTCATAACACTACATATAACAACAAATCAAAACACACATTCATAGAAAAGTGTCCACCCCAGCCCCTTATTCATGTACTGCTAAAAGGAAATAATCTATGCTATCTGTACCTGTCCTGAAAATCCCTGAGGTATTCTACTTTACTAGAATAGTGAACTTATGTATCTTATATCTAGCTATTGTTGCTTTTTGTGAGGTGCTTAAACCTGATTTTGAACTCATAGCAGCCCCACCTGACACAGTTTCACTTCCTCATGAGATGCCCTAGCCAGCCATCCTTATAGAAGCAGGAGAAAGTCTCCAACGAATCCAAAGAAGAATATAGCAACTTTAAAAGAAATCTTCTTCTAAAACTTGAATAACAATGACCTCATATGATGTATA